ACATGATGCAGTTGCAACCAACCACTAAAGCCTTGTTTACATTCCAGAAACTTCAACCGACATAATTAACCCAATCCAGTTGCTTAATGTAATAAATAACAGAGGTCAGCCGTGGTTGTGTAAATTCTGATGAACTCCTGCCACGTTACAGTTTTACGCAAGTACAAAAAGATTCTGTTAGTTTCTTTGCTGTAAGACTTTGAGAGATAAAGAAAAAGAAACACTTCCCAACAACTTGCAAGGTAAGAGTTGAAAGGCAAGGATAACCTGGAGCCTGGCTGTGGGGGATTTGCTGTCCCAAGGCTCTCCTAAGGTGGGTCTGCTGATAGCAAGGGCTCTGCACTAGAGACAAAAGCCCAGGGCTGGATTTCTTCCCTGCAGGAGTCTCAGCTTCACACTGGAGTATAAACCCTATCTCTGTGTGATTAAATACTTGGTATGACTACAAAGAAAGCTGATAGAGATGTACTATTATGAAATTGTTACAAAATGTATCATGCATTCTGGGAATTCCATTTTATTAGTCATTTTTGTATTTTTATTTATTGTATCTGAACATTCTACCACTGAGAGGAACTCCTAAGCCCAAAGCCTTTAACACAAACCTGAAAAAAAACCCAAACCTGTAAATGTCAGAATTCTCCCCATTAAGCAGTAAGGCCTCAGTATATGATTTCATGCCAAGCTAGGACCATCTAATGACCAGCTGTCCCTGCTGGGGCAAGGCTGTTTCCAGCAATGTCCAACATCTGCTCAACCCCCCAGTAATCTGGTTCAGTGAGAAAAGCAGGTAGAAAACAACCTCTCCACCCAAGTCCTAAGAGCCAGCAGAGATGCAAAGGCAGTTTAAGAGAGGTATGACTGATGATGGCAAGAAGAGGGTTACAGAGCTCCTTTTGACTGGGCAGTAAACAGGCAATGGCTCCAGTACCAGATGAAATACATGGAAACCTACATGGAAGTCCATCTGTCACCACAGCTTGCTACTGTTGGCAGCTAAATAAGTTAAACTAGCAGAAAAGATTTTTTTAAAAAAAATCTTCCAGGTTAATAGGAAGAAAACACTCAGTGGAGAGTTCATTCTGCCCAAAGAGAACAAGTACAAGCAAAGACAGAATTTCCTCTGAAACCACAACCTGGAAATGCTTAGACATTTAACCAGAGACCTTGCAAGCCCCATCTTGAAATATATCATAAAGAAGGGTAAAAAGCAGTCCATAAGGCTGGGATAGAAATATAACAAGATGTTTCTGCTGGGTATGTTAATGTATCTTATACAAAGGACAAAATATAATCATATAATCCATGGCCTCTCTCCTTCACTAAAGAGTAATCCTCTCTTCACTCCATTTTCTGTTTTTGGACTCCTTGCATTCTCTCTAAGCTGTCATTTCCCATTTCCAGTTCTCAGATGCCTTACGATTTATTTTTCTTATCAAGAAAGCAGTGCATTTTAAAACCTTGTCTTTAACAAGGCTGCACATGCACAGCTTATAAACAGATCTAAATTGTAACTGTTAGAGTAACTCTACTCCTCTTTCCCACCTTACCAGGCATCTGTCCCCACAACTTTTCAGAGATAGGCACTTGTGTGTAACAGTAGCAATCAGTTCATTATTCAGGCAAAATCTGGTACTAAAAAAAATTATCAATTTTCTGCCAGAGCAGCTGCTTGACACAGCTGACTGTGCAACAGCAGAAGTATTACAGCCAGCAAAGGAGAAGGGTAGAGAAATGCAGCTGAACATGTAGAGCTTCATATCTCTGACCCCAGCTACAGACTTGCTTTATCTATCAGAATATAAAGCAAGAAGTGCCAGTGATGGCTTTCAGCTCTGGTTTCATTCCAGCCTAGCCCTGTCTAAATGCTTGCTAACAAAGCTCCACACTTCCTGCACCCAGCTGGTGTATTCCTGCCTTCTCTCTTACACCGGTTCTGGCAGTCCACCAAGCTGTTTCAGCACACTGAGCTAGTAGAAGACTGTTCATGTTTTATGGTTCAGTTAGTTTCCTGCCAGCTATGGTATGGAAGGAAGTGGATAGAACTGCTGCACTGAGCAGTTTGACCAGCTTAGGCTGCTTTGAAACCACCACATTACCTAGACCAATTCAAAGGCTGTGTTCAGACCCGTGTTACAGATTAAACAATGCACGGTTTAGTTTAGCTTCAACTGCAATTGAATTACAGCAATTAAACTGCTTATACCAAAACAAGAGTGTTCATGAAGAGGTCTGCATCAGGCTAATTGGTTTTAAAGCAATTAAATGCATTTCCCTACAACTTTCCTTAGACACAGGCTCACATGAGCTGTACAAACCATGCAAGGTTTGTAACCAAGCAGGTCACAGATCTGCAGCACATCTGCTGTTCTGGGTCATGTCTGAAGTTATACAGTGCCACAGACTGATCTCCTGCACAGGCTTCTCACACATCAAAAAACCCAAACAAAGCACAAAGAGCTGTGTGCTGTCTCCAGGTTTGCCTAGATAGGGTCAACTTCATCATCTATATCCTTTCCAAAACACACAAAGCAAAACTCTGCACAAGCTAATTGCTACACGTGGAGACATTGCTGCCACCACCCCACCAGTTGAGAACTTTGCTGCACTTTTTCTGCCTTGCACAGAGTAGAATAACAGTTTTGAAATTCTGGTTTGTGACTTCTCTGCTGGAGAAATACTGCTCTGAACTATCAGAAAAGCTTGTTTCAATCCAAGCAACAGGAGCCCAGAAAGATTCATTACACCAGGCCTGTAATGTGGCCAGCTCTTGGAGATGACATTCATGATCCTTTCATTTTCTGCGAGAAACTATATTTTCAACTATTATAAATTTCTATCACTAATTTACAGATTAGGTTTGGTATACAACAAAGAGAAATGGTTAACAGGTATAAGACTAAAGAGTTCTTTATATCCCACATTCTCACTGGCAAAAATATAAGCCTGTAAGGGCATGGGGTGGCTAGTTGGTATTCATGTCCTTGGAGTGGTGCTGCCAGGGCTTTTATCAACATACATGTTAAATTTAACAAACCAACCAAAGCCAATCAGTATCTAGTTAAATAAATACCAATTCTCTTATTATTGGAGTGATTCAACATTTGCTAAGTTTTATCTCTACTATGGTGATACCAAAATGCCATTTACATCACTCCCACTGGTATTTAAAGCACTAGGAGAACATCTTTGCATGGACCAGTGGCTCCCACACAATGACAGCTTGGGTCAACCTAAACCAGCGCTGTGGAGAGACTGGCTTTGGCATCAGCTAGTTCAGGGAGCTGCAACAACAGTTAACAGTATGAAAACACGAGTCTTTTTCTGCCAGGTTAAATCCCTCTTAACTGACCAGCTCTAATTAAGAGCCCACAATGCAAGGGAAGCTGCAAGATCATGTGTATGAGAAGGCTGGGACATGACAGTGACCTTTTCAATAACCATGATATTAAATCAGCTCACTGTCCTAAGAAACTTCATCTTAACCCTACCAAACAAAAAGCAAAAAAATTCCTGTGGGCTTAATTCACTGAAACAACATATCCTGAAGTTAGGGCAGCTCTAGAACTACCACAAAGAAATGGAAACTTTATGTATGGCCCACACACCTGTTTGTGGCTGATTAAAGCACCAGAACTAAAATGTAAACATCCACATAAGTAGATATAAGATTTTTAAGTGTCTTTTAGATATTAATTACATCAGAGAGACATAAGTAATGATTTAGCTCAGTTAAGGCATGCAGTACTATTAATACTAGAAAGTGGGCCAGTGTTTCTAAGGAGAAATAAAGATGAGATTTCATGGACAGCTAAATGTATCTAATAACCCCTACTGTCTGTTTAACCAAGTTCTTATGTTATCAAACTCTTTCACAAACTGGTCACTACAACAGCAGAAAAATGTTTCAGTTTTTAAGTTGGTTAGCAAGTTCAGGTGGCTGGGATGTGACAAGCACCACAATGGAAGTGGTGGAATGCAGAGCTAGGAGCTTACCCCAGCCAGTAGCAATCATTAAAGCAAGAAAAACATTTACTTTCTGCTGGCTTAGAAAACTGAAATACAAAGAAGAGTAAATGTTGAGAGCAGTCCAGTGGTGGAGACTGACAGACAAGTTCATAAGGAGAGAAGGGAGAAAAAGACAGGGAGAAGGGACAAAAGGAGCAAGTGTACCTCTTATGAGGTGTCAGGTCCCATATATAATACCTCACTTAACCATACCATGAGAACTGAAAAAAGAAATTTACTCTCTGTTAGTACAGATAAGACCTGAATCCAATTTTATAACCATTATCCAGCCAAGATTCCTCATTAAAAAACATGCAGATTATCTGTGCCATGCCTTCAAGACAAACCCACCTGTAGATTCAGAGTTAACCAGACTTGTGAGCCCTGCTGTAGGAATGTGAAGAGCAAGTGGGTATGTGTAAGAACTTTAAAAGGAAGGTAGTAACTATTGTTGCTGTTTTAGAGAAAAGGCTTTCAGGTAAACTCAGCTGCAAAGTCAGTTGCAAGTACAAAAGGAGATGGACAGGCATGAATATCCATGAAATACATACTGCTCAGGGGACTAATTTCAGTGGAAACAGAAATTAGCCACTGTGATTCTTTGTTCTTAGGAAAAAAAGTATTTATTGCAGTAGGAAATACTACCTTAATAGTTTTGATGTTACTACTACTTTCTCCTGTCTTGCCAATCTAGAAGTACTACTTTAAAGGAAGCCATGGTAAGTGATACAACAGGTTGTTGGTTTTTTGGTAATTTAGCTTTAGTTATTCAGAAACCTAAAATAACACTGAAATATTTGTGTGTAGATTTGAAACATAATGAAAACAAAGGAAAAATTAAAATACTTTCTAACATACAGTAGTCATTGTAAAAAATACAGTAAACCTTGTCTCCACTTAACAGTAGCTTCATGGTAGATGACACTGCTTCACTATCCTGGTTTACAAATAATTGCATTGTAGAGCCTAATTGAAATATTCCTCTTACTCACCTTTGGATCGAGTGGAGATGTCCATCCCCTCCACCACCTCCTGCTCTGCCTTTATTTCCTCTTCAGCCAAGCTGCAGAATTCAAAAAGGTGAATTAGAATACTTTATGGACTGTGTTAATCCCATGACTAACTTCTATCCATTAAGTTCAACCCAACACTGTTAAACACAACTAAATCAAAATTTCTGATGGAATGAAAGGTTTGCTGTTTGCCAGAGCATACATTGACCAAACCACAGTGAGAAACAATCCAGGTACACACATATGCTGCAAGTTACCAAGCACAAAAGTCACATTTTTGTACCAAAGACAGTCTTGTAACATGTACTGAAGATTATGGCAATGTATGTATGAACTGTATGCGTGTGACAGACAAACAGGAATTCTGTTCCTTGCAGCTTCTAATCTCAGATAAACCATGTGGACAGATGCCTGCCAACATTTAAATGCTCATCAGCCTTCGTGAACAGATTAGCTGAAGTAACAGACTTACCAACACAGAACAACTTGTAAAATTAGAAGGTAAAATGTAATTTAAAAATAAATAAATAAATAATTTTAAGGATTTTGGAACTAGACTGTATAACAGAAAACTGAATATTTATCATTTATTGGCAATATAATTCCACCAATTATTAACCATAAAGAGTAGTAACCATAAAGAGTAAGTTGTTACCATTCAATCTTATACAGTCAGTTTCCGTTTGCTCCAGGCAGGATTAAATTATTACAAAGTACATCTGACTTTCTGATATTCTACTAGTGATATGCTATAGTGATGCCATTCAAGAAAACAACTCAATCAATTTGGCTTGTTAAGTCACTTTGGGGAAAGAAGATGGAAAGGAGAGGATAAGTGAACACGAATGAACACAGAGTTACAGAGCAGTTTTGGAGATGTTACTATCCTAGATGAAAGGTAAAAGAAAACACACAATGTTGAAGCAAACCCAAATTCAAAATGATGGACAAATGGGGCTCTGGAGCATCAGGCAGGTATTGCAGTGTCTACCAGAGTACAACAGCCATGAGGGATGCTGCTCCTCTGCTCTACAGGGACAATTCACCATTCAGTCTGTTAATGGAAGCTGTTGCTGATACCAGTTTGCACTGATATGGCAGATTATGAATTTCTGCTGTTGTGCAGCTGGCTGAGGTTCCATACGCCACCCCAGCTTCAGGGACAGGGCCAAGAGGGCAGCTGGAGACCTTTACTTTAGCTACTGTGTATAAATCTGCCTGAGACATCTCATCAGAGCTGGGAAACAAGTGAGGACTTAGTTACATTTATACCAGAGAAACTCTTCAGCCTGACAAAACAGTTTATATTAGCAGGAGTTTTGTTACGGGTATAAGTTAAAAGAGATTTCTAAACAAAGTAAAACTTAAGAGCAGAAGGATTTTTCAGTTTGCTAATTGACAAAACTGCTTTTAATCCACTATGAACTACTGGGTTGCAATTCCTTTCACAGTTCTAAACAGTACAGTTATGTCAGCAGAAATTTCACATACAAATTAACCAAGCTCAATGTATGGAAAACCCAAAGCTGAGAAGTTCCATGAATGCCAGAAGTCATTGTTCTTTGTCATCTGGATATAGAAATAATTTACAAAATAAGCTCTTTAAAGTCACAAGACACTGAAGGGAAGTTCTATTCTACCAGCATCTACCTCCCAGCTCATGGACTATTTTGATAATTTCAGGAGCAAGGCAAGGCACCCATGTGACCACAATTATGGTAAATGTGTAGCACAGTTGACTGTAAAACAATGCTTCCCAGATTTATTTTGCAAGGGCAGATTAAATGCACAACACAGCCAACCATACTACAATGCTCACACATTTACTATGCATGGGCAGATCAATTATCCTGCACATTTGTTACACCCTTTCCCAGGGGCCTCAGCAAAGAGGAGCTGGCAGTGGCCTGCAGACACCAAAACATTTCATGCACCACTTGCCTTTGCCCATTCCTCTCCTAAGCAAAGGGAAGGGATGGGCTCATGGGATGGGCTCATTGTTCCCTTCCAGTGTTGCATTGGAGTTTTTTCCTTTCCCTCCCTCTTTATAAAATCCTATTTCAATATCGCCAAACTGTAACACACCCCGTATTTCTTGAACATCATGTATATACAATAAATAATGCATACAGGTAAATATGTATTCACACCCAGTAACTCAGTAAGACTGGAGTGATCTGGCAGGGCACATTACCTGCTTCTAAAACACAGGTCCAGTTCTAGACACAGACTAGGACATACAAGGCTTTACAAGACTCAGGTTGAACACTTATGCTCACTTTACATGGGCTACTACTAAAAGGAATGGTTTCCCCAGTCCTTAACTTCTTGTTCCAGAAATCATGTCCATTTCACCCAAATCAGCTCTGGAATGTAACTCTCTGTGCAGCTGGACATGCAGAAAACGGGAGAGAACCACACAGGGAGAAAAGGGCTCCACCCTCTTAGCAGCTCACATTTAAGTTACATTAAAGAAACCATAATATTCCAGACTCATCCAAATCTATGAAGTCATTTTGTTTAAAAAACACACTTTAGGGGAACATGGTACAACATGAAAGGTACAGGAGTTGGTACAAATCAGTATTACAATCCAGAGAGTTGACCATGAATCCTGGCTGAAAAATGGGAGTGATGGATCAATCATCAGCAACACCATAGCAGGAACTGTTCCTACTTCAGTGACCAAAGCACCAGGAGATGTTTCAGACTGACTGAGGATGTTCTGTGCCCCTGGGCCCAAACCCATCAGTGCAGGGGGTTACAGGGCAGGACTCCAACCTATTAGTTACAGCCTAGCAGGGTTTTTCAGCTCAGAATGTGTCCCACTCATGTAATGAGCTGAAATTAGGAAACTGAGTCAGTTTCCTCCATCATCCTTTGAAGTGTTCTTGCAATAGTGCCATGACCAAGAAAAATATTCTTCAGAAACATTTAAGTGAACAAAGTATCTTGCAAAATCTTGATACAAAGAATCATAGAATGATACCATGGCTTGCCTTGGACAGGCCCCTGAAGATGATCCAGTTCCTTGGGCAGGGATGCAAATATCACCTAAAGGATGTCTGAAAACAGCCTTCCCAAAGATTTTAAGTATAAATGAGCAGTCAAAAATACATTCTCCACTTGATACCAAGGTTCTCCACTTTCCTCAGCAATGGAGGAGCATATTCCCTATATACACATGTGCACAGTGTGCATCACTCACACAAAATCCAGCAATTACCTCCTGCACTGTGAAATCTGAACCTCAGAGGAACACAGGCATCTCCACATTCTCTGCAATTAATTAATCTTTTAAGGGAACAAACATTTAGGTATATAAGAAAACCACAGAGCCTCTTCTTAAAAAAAAAAAATCACAATGTTGGTGGGGAACAGTTAAATAAAAGTGTGTCAAACATAGCTGTAAAATATACTGAACATTCAAGGCTCTTCAAAAGCATCTCCCATTGCTTTATTTGCCATAATGTATAATGACTTCTGCAACATGACATTGTTTGAATGTTGGCAGTAATGACTGCAGTGGTCATCTTTGAGATTCAAGTTTATAAATACATACCAGCAACCCATAACAAGTTTACAGTAACTTTTCTAAAGCTGACATCTTTTCAATTTTTCACCCTCCATCAATACAAGGAAAATTCTGAAAATGCTTTATAAAGCACAAACTTCCAAATGCAGATATTAACAAAATATTTCCAATTAAATAATTCAAGAAAACAGGTTCTTAACCAGTTACCTTGCTATTACCCACAACAAAATAAAAGGAAAATTAAGACCAGCAGCAAAATAATTAAAAACAAGTATCTCGTTCCATGGAAACAATAACTGTGTGGTCAAGTTGACTATTCTAGAGAGTTTTATTTTGAGAATTCATTTTTGTAGGGCTCAGAGCAGCTATTTCAGCCAGCACGTATTACTGTCACGCATGTATGAATGGGATTCTCTGAGGCTGCAGATCAGAAATGATACTGAAATATACTCAATTTAGTACCTTAATGAATACAACAAATAGCTTATGTAATTCTGAAAGCTACTCTTATTTCCTCATTAAGATGAATGAACACAGAGGACCACATCTTAAGAACACAACTGAAATTTAAGCTTTGCCAGTTTCCCTGTCAAATGACCAGAAAACCAATTAATCATTTAAAACTTCCCTACTCATATTGACAAAACTTGCAACAACAACAACAACAACAGAAGTTTGTTTTCTAAAATGTTAAGCTAATTTGTTTCATACAAACTAGTTTAGCATGTCTGAATGAGGGTAGAAGGGGTGGAGATTATTTCTTTGGGGAGAGTTGGGCACAGAAAGAAAAAAAAATAAGGATTGCAAACATACAAGATTTATTGATACTTAGGTAAAAATGGGAAAAATAACTTAGCTGCCTAATTTTTAAATATGTTCTCTACCAAACTGAAGAGAGGGTGGGGTTTTTTTAATATAAAATTCAGGTTTTCAAATTTCACATCCCTGAACTATATATACTGACTTCTCTGTTTAGGAAAATCATTCCTTCACTAATAGTAGTACTTACCTGAGAAAATGTACATATACAAGAATATATAACACTGCTCTAATCCACAGTAACTACAAAGAGCAATTAAAAGTTGCAGATGAACTACTGCACCTTGACATTTAACCAAGAAAAACTGACAGATATGGAAAACCACTCGAAACAGCTAATGCCCACATACACAATCTAGATCTACATTAGGGAATAACACATGAATTTCAGATCAAGAACTACATATTTCTGGAATTCATTTTTCTTTTTAATTAACAGAAAGCAAAACAAAACAAACAAAAAAAAATGGTTAAAGACTATAAGCACTAAAACTGAATTTCATCTTTAAGATAATTCCTGCCTCTCATGCATCACATTTGTGAGCAGCAATTCCAAATAAAGATTCCAAAAAACTGCATTCAATAAAAATTTAAAACCAAAAACCACTATTTGCATGCCATTGCTGAATAAATAGCAGCTTTGTATGAGCACTCACCTATAACAGTCTCTTACTCATCGGTAGCTATGCTATTTAT